TCATCATGGAGCCACCTGCACTCATCGAATCTTCTCTCTCCACACCACCACCACCACCACCATCGACGCCTTGCAACGCCATCCACCGCCATGACTGTTCCAACCCACCATTGCACGTTTCAAGTTTCATCCCAAAGTTGCTGCAGGTGCTTGAGGGCCGCGATCAGTGGCTGCAGGCAGAACCAGCGCTGTACCTCGCAGCAATGGTTCGGCCCATTTGTTCGTGTCGTGGTAGTGGAGAAGCGCCACGATGGGAATGATGTTGCTGTTGTGTGAATCTTGTGGTGTCGCCGTTCCGTTGCACACACACACACACACACACACACACACACACACACACACACACACACACACACACACACACACACACACACCACACCACACCACACAAACGGTTGCGTCAACAGGAGCTTGTGGGCGCAATTTGGACGTCGCAGGTGGCGACGCTGCTGCGGCAGAATGCAGAGTTTTGGAAGGCCGTCATGTTTGTTGTCGAGGACAAGGACTGCACGAAGCAGTACACATATCGCGGTGGCGATGATGGTGATGATGGTGATGGTGGTGCAGCGGCGATGAGTGAGCAGGACAGGCGCCGCAAGCTCGTGGTCATTCCACGCTGCCAGGTGAGACGCCCTCACAAGCAGGGTCTTGAAGGGTTATGCTGCCAGCGTTTGCATGTGTGCGTGAGTGTTGGTCCAGTTGGAAAAATTTTGTAGTGTCACACTGGTACAATGTCCCGTCATTTCTTTTCAACTGAGTGGTCATCGTTTGCGTGCTTGCAGGCAATTGCGTTGGGCATCATCACGCTCGAGTGCTACAATGCGCAGGCCAGCGAGAAGCACTTCAAGGCGCCGCTGGACATTGCCGTGAGTGGTGCTTGATGCGCGACTGTGTTACCACAAAGATACGCGCATGCACGCAAGCACTCGCGCAGTTCCGCTCTCTATCTTTCAGCTGCATATTCATTCGCGCTTGTGTTCATGTGCTCACAGGTTGACTTTGTGGAGACCTTTGAGCTGCATCCACGCATTGATGACAACGAGACGGGCGTTGCCGCTGTACGTGGGACAAGGGATAGTTGGGTTTGCTGTGTCTGCTGAGGCTTTTGTTTGATTTGGGCGTGTTTGGTGATTTGGGCGTGCTTGGTGATTGGGTTGTCGCTGACATTGAAAGCAGACGGTGCTATTGCTCGACGTTTTGCTCGCACCACCTCACCACCTCCATCTTCGTGGCCTTTGTGTTGTGATGTTTTGTGTTCCACTTCTCGTGTAGCTGCTGTTGGTGTCGGCGTGGTGCGACTTTTGCAGCACCGTGTATTTCCCAAAGCACTACAGCCCTGCGCCGTCATACCACGTGTTGGAGGCGCGGCCAGCCACGTACTCTTTCCTTCTCACCCACATGCTCAAGGTGATTGACTGGGTATCATTGTCCCATGCCGTGGGATGTAGTTGCTCCTCCTCTCCCTCAGAGAGGGGAGAGGGAGAGACAGAGACAGAGAGTGTATGTGTGAGAGAGGAAAGAAAGAGAGTGTGTGTGAGAGAGAGAAAGAAAGAGAAAAAGTCACACACACACACACGTATGTGCGCACACACATTCACACACTCATACACTCATACACTCACCGGGTACCTTCACCGCCATCTGTGTTCTTTCTTTTCACTGGACTTAACCCCCTCCCTCGGTTCACACCCCACTCACCTTTTGCACTCCTTTGCCCGTGGGTTTTCTCCTTGCAGTGCATCCGCGACCACATGCACGACCTCTCTGTTCAGGTGCAATCAAATGGCAAGGCAGGATGGACACGTAAGTCGCCGTACACCCTCATGCACTTGAGTGATGATCACGTGTTGCGGTGACGCGGCTGTGTGCGCTCTTCTCGTTGCCTCCTACTTTTCATGGCTCACGCGCGTGTGTGTGTTCATGCCTTTGTGTGCATGTGCGTGTGCGTGCGTGTGTGTGTGTGTGTGTGTGTGTGCGTGCTGTGCCGTGAAGGCGCCAAGTATCACCGCGCCATTGCCGTCCACTTGGCAGAAGTCTTGATCATCTTCTCGCGACGCCTCGGTATGAACGTTGCATTGTGCTTTCGAACGTGCGTTGTATGTCCGACCAGACATTGTGCCTTCCGTAATGATTGTGCTGTTGTCACCAGCACACTGTTGCTGGTACATCTTTTCACGTGCCGCCGCTGTTGTTGCCGTTTCAGACTCGAAAGTCCACGGGATCAAAGCAGACGCCATTGTTGAGCTGTTTAACTTGTACGTGTCTGTGTGCGTGTGTTTGTATGCTTGTGTGGCTGTGTGTTTATGCGTGTGTTTATTCTCGTCTATCTGTCTGTGTGTGTATGTGTGTGTGTGCCTCTGATGACAACGGTAAAGGAACTTGTGCCCTTGCGTTTGCAGGACTGTTGTTCCTTAGGGCTACACAACAGCCACAGCAGTGCATAACCGCTGTATTTGTTTGCATGTGTGTGCACTTCGCTGCAGGATGCGGGTTGTGCTGGCGCGGGCGTGCGATTACCAAGAGGAGACGACGGAGTTGCGTGTGCACTTGTATGGCGCACTCATGATGATGCTCCAGCGGTTGCATTGCAAAGAAAAGGTATCATGCGCTGGCAACCAGCCCACCCCAACGCTCCCTTGTCTGTTGCCCACATGGGCAAGGCATGGGGATTGCATCACGATGGCTCCTTGGTTGTGTTTCGATTTTTCTTCGCTTTGTTTCGTTTCATCGCGTCACTCACAGCCTCTGCCCCACGCGCGCGCATTTTGTGTACAGGCAAAGGAAGATGCGATTGCAGATGCGTGCACGGGCATGTTCCCGCTGGTGTGGGAGGCGTTTCTGCAAGACATGCGCGACCACCAGATGCTGCAGCTCACGGCGTCCGCTGACCAAGCCCTCATGAAGAGGAAGAAGCAGCAACAGGAACAACAACAGCAGCAGCAGCAGCCAGGGCAGCAGCAGGCTTGGGGTGACCAAGGCAAGCAGGCCACAGATCAGAAACATCAGAAGCAGCCGTCGACCACCCAACGGGCGCTGCCTGTGCGTGATGCCGGGCTGACTGTCCTCAGTGTTCTGATGCGGCGTGCGGCAGACAAGTCGCTGGTTGCCCAAACGATGCGGGAGAACGGAGCTCTAGACCTGCTGCTGGACGTGATGGCCGATGCTATTGCCACACAGCGCAACGCGAAGATGGCACACTCCCTCATGCACCTGTTTGTCGCAGCCGCGCTGTCGCCGGACACAGCAGCCGCCCTCTGCTCAACGCCACGCGTGCGCGGGCACGGAGGCCTGGTGTGTTGAGAGTGTTGCTCTTGCTTGCTTGCTTGTTTGTTTGTTTGTTTGTTTGTTTGTTTGTTTGTTTGTTTGTTTGTTTGCTCGCGCGGATACATTCCTCTTTCTCCAATTCACTCACACACTATCACCCACTCTCACTCTCACTCTCACTCTCACCCACTCACCATCACCCACACACTCCCTCTCTCTTTTGGGTGCCGCTAATCATACCACCTCTCCGCCTCCTTCTTGCGGTTGACAGCTGTCTCGTGTAACACAGTCGTTTGCAGTGCTGTGGGAGCAGCACAAGTCAACCCGCATCATGGACCCGTACATCACAAAGGTGATTCCATCTGCGTGTGTGTGTGTGTGTGTGCGTGTGTGTGATTGTCTGTGTTTGTCTGTGTGTCTGTCTGTGCGTGTGTGTACCTGTGGTTGTGTGTGAGTACACTACGTTTGCCGTTGAAGTGTGCCAAGTGACACGCGCGCCCATGCTTATACGCTGGTGTTGTTGCTGTATCCGACAACGCTCTTCAGAACGGAGAGGTGTCTGTCAACGAGTGGCATCAGCTGTGGTGTCGCTTCATCGCGCTGCAAGGACGCTTGGTCCAGCACGTTGGTCATGCCTGGCACTGCCTGCATGATGCAATCCGCTTCCTGCGCATCTTCGACAGCATCCTCTTCTCTGCGCTCAGCAGGTGCGTTGATTGAAAGAGGGCGTGGTGGTAAATAAGCAGGCGTTATCGGCACCGCCCCTCTGCTTGTTTCGTCGATGCCATGGCAATGGCGTGGCTTGTATCAAACAATCACCATGCCACGTATTTGCTCGGCAACTGGTCATCGTTGTTGTTTGATGTCGCTCAAAGCGCTGTGGTCGGTTTTCTCCCCTCACCAGCACACACACACACAACTCTGCCTCTCACGCTTACTTTCCCTAATCTGTCTCTCTCTCTCTCTCACACACACACACAAACACACACACTCTCCCTCTCTCTCTCTCGCTCGCACACCGCGTGACATTCAGCTTCCCGAGCCAGCGGGTGCAATTGCAGCAGCTTCGGCAAGTGGACACGATGTTGGAGTTCCTGGTGCACCTGGGCCTGCATCGTGACGCGTGGGTGAAGGCCATGCCAGCGCTGCTCGACCCATCTGGCTTCCTTGCGCTCCTTGCAAACATCTACCAACGTGCGCTAATTTGTCCCTTGCCGCATGTGTCGTGGGGTTGTGGTTGTGTGTGTGTGTGTGTGTGTGTGTGTGTGTGTGTGTGTGTGGACCCTTTTGTGTTTATGTATGTGTTGTGTGTATGTGTGTACATTTGTGTGTGTGTGTGTGTATGTGTGTGACCAGGACGCTTCTTGATAACTACTTCTTGATCTCTTGTTTAACACCATTCACCGACATTATTCACTGCCGTCATTCATGGTGTTCCCAGATGCGGTGCACGTGGCTCGCTCCCCGTATCGCTGCAACGAGTTTGTCGTGCCCACAACCGCAGACGAGAAGGACCTGCAAGGAAAGGTGCGATGCGTGCCGTCATCACTGCATGCTCGCCCTTTCGAGCTTGTTTCCGCTGGCATGTATCCCCGTGTGTGTGTGTGTGTGTGTGTGTGTGTGTGTGTGTGTGTGTGTGTGTGTGTGTGCGTGTGTGTGTGTGTGTGTGTGTGTGTGTGTGTGCGTGTATAGGGGCTTCTCTTGTAGTTGAGTGCGTTGTATGTATATCCGTCTTC